TGCATTCTTTATGCTTCATTTGGTGCAAGTGAATGACTCAGTTAAAACAGCATTTCAACACATTTTAGCCAAAATATTTGCTTTGCACAACAACAAAATACAGATAACTGCAATCATCTGTAAGTAAGAACAGGCAAATTGACAGGCACAGCAGATAGCTGTTTACTGTGATACCTATAAAGTGGTCTTTCTTAGCGCAAAACTTTTATGCAAAATAAGAAATGCCAGGAAAGTGAATTTGCAAGTTAGCATTTGCCTGATCTGGCTGGTATTGTAAGTGTTTGGAAAAAACTGCAAACAATTGTACTCAATTTGTTTTCTTTCCACATGCATTCCAGTCAGAATACATGTACTTAAAATATTTTCACCTTTGTGCTCCAGGACAGTGAGTGTGAATTTAAAATGTCATTATCTTCTAACTATGTAGGCTACATGCAAGATGAAGATTTTCCTCTTGGTGCATTCAGTATAATTAGCATGTATGACAACATTCAGACGATTTAATTTCCCAATTACACAGCTATACTGAAAATATGCTTTGGATTAAATATGCAAGCATTTCTTATCAGTAGATACCCTACAACTTCTTCTGCGCTGTTACATCACTGCAGATGCTCCTGTTTTGGCAAGATGAGAAATAATCATCTTCTGCCCTAAGAACCAGGGAGACAGAACTCATAATGCTTCAGCAGCTGCACCACAACACCGGTGCATGTAGAGCTCCCCGGGGACAGCCCTGTGGCATGGGTCCCTTGCTGAGCCCAAGGATACCATGAAGGGACTGGAGCCATCTGTGATATTATCCTGCTGTTCGCCTACAAGCTTTGGTAGCTGTGGGAAAATCAGTTACGGGCATCTAATTTACTTGCATGTAATTAATTTCACCCCAAAGCTACTTATTTGCTTGCTTACTTTTAGGACTGATGGGTGACCAACAACAACAAGAACAAAATCAATTGTTTTCCTGAGACAAGTAGTAGGCATACGGTTGCATACATGTTGAGTATTACTCATGGGAATTCTGGAAATCTTTCTTTTCTGTGAATAAAAATTAAACAGAATAGGGCATTTATAGATGGCTTGAGAATACACAGCATTTTTTTTTCTCGCTTCCTTATTCTCCATTTGAAAACAAACAACCTATTTCTTCAATAACTGATATGAAAAGGGGGAAGCCAAAGCTGGGTGAGTGAGGAAGCCAGTATTTTCCTCCAGGCTAGGGCTGAGGAGCAAGGGATGCTGCAAAAGATGCTTGCAGCGCTTTTGGCCTGACATGGGTTATTCTCCATATAATCAGAGGCTGGCACAGAGCATCTCAGGGACACCTGCCTGCTCCAGCTCAACAGGCCAAAGTGGCACCAACCACCTCCCCTCGGGCCTCATCCCACCTGAGGCCGTGAGCAGCACAGCTTAGACCCAGTCTAGGTCTAAATCTTGCAGATTTTCCCTGCATAACACCTGAAAACTGCAGCCTCCCCTGGCTTTCCAGGCAGCCGAAGCTCCCTCCGGCTGGCGTCTCCCCTGCTGAAAAGCCCTTTTATCTCCTCCTGCCAGTCATGCTCCTGCAGGTACCTGTATGAAGTGCTGTTACAGAGGCCTTTTCCCAAGCCTATCACTTTGACCATCTCTCCATGCCTCTCTCAAGCATCTCTCTGCTGAATTCTGTGTATCTGATCAAACAAACTACTTGTCTTTATTTCAAAGGCTTTCACAGATAACCCTGCTCTGTCTTTTATCGCTCATTTAGCACCAAGAAATCAGCTCCCTCCTCCCGCTGGCCCAGACACCAGCCTCCCCTCCCCTGTGAGGCTCTCAAACAACCACACCTGCACATTTCAACACTGCCCCTTCCGTATTGGGATTTTGCCTTCTAAGCAAACCCAGGGCAGCTGTGCCACCTCCCTTTGGCTACAAATACACCTATAAGGTCAAGAACCCTCCTGGGACACTTTTGCAATACAACCATGCTCTAAGAAGTCGAGCAATGTTACTCACAGTTTCCTTTTGTGTCTCTAGCCTGTGGTCCTGCCTCGCTTTGTGTCTTCTCCTTGTCTAGAGAGCTCTCTTTTCCAGGTTTGTAAGGAGTCTGGCATAAGGTCATCATAACCTGCTTCTGGAGTGAGTCCTTGGGCACTACATTCGCACCAGGGCAGCTACAACACCCGGTTTCTCAGCTCACAGCCACACTGCCACCAAGGAGATGCAAGCACACACCACATCGTGAACAACTGGCCACTTCCACCTCCCTGCTGCACCATGTACATCTCACAGAACAACATTTAAGACATTAACACCCATGAATTATAAAACAGGCACATGTTTTCCAAGCTTAGCCTTGCTGCAGACTCCCTCAATACAGCACAGCCTCAGACAAGATCTTGTAGTGATGGGGACGGAAGGACCAGCCTGCCATATTAAAGCAAATGTGAAGTGTGATAGTCTCTTCGCTACCAGCATTACCATCCCTGCTGCCCTGGCTTCTTAATAACATCAGCATCATTTCATGCACTGTCTTTTTAAGCAATGAAGAGAAGTCCCGAGGTTAATTAACCAGAAGTAGAACATAGTCACTTTACTCAAAAACAACAAAAAAAAATTTGCAAAGACACAAACTAGCATTTGATGGAGTTTTCAAGTGGAAAAGAAACACCAATTTTAACACTATTTAAACATAACAGATTGTCCTTCAGCTTAGGAAAATTCTGAAACCTTTGACCTGTTTTTATAATGCTTTAATGAGTATTCATGCTTTCTGTCGGTCAGGAAGACAGCAAATTATGTGGCAGGCATCAGAAGCCAGTACCTGGCTATATGTGCACGTACACTGCACGCTGCAGAGGAGGACAGGCATTTTAGTCATGGCAGAACACGTCTCACCAATGGAGTCTCACTAGAAATCTTCTTTCAACAGAGGACATTGTAACAGGCAACCTTTCCAGAGGCTGGCTCAGTTGTGTGGGGTTTGCTGAGGAGGTCAGTAAGACCTCTAACACCACACTTTTTATCACCAGGTCACCAATGACCAGTTAGCAGGCCTCAGCTGTGCACTGTGCTGTGGCACCCCTAGTTTACAAGCTGCAGAGGTACAACAGGGGTACTTGTCCTGACCTCAGGTCCTTGGTCTGCTCTCTGTGTTGGTCCTCCTCCTGGATTACCCTCAAAATATTTTTGTCCAGGTCTTTGTACACATTCTGCCAGTTCCTTCCCCTTCCCTGCTCTGACACTCTGCACAGATGGAGTGTGATGGGAGCACTGTTTCCTGCTCCCCATCAAGCTTACTTTTCTCCTCTCTGTCTGGCTGCTCCTCTTGGAGGACAAGTTATTTAAGGTGGTGGCAGTCCTGGGCTTGAATTCTGACTAAATCCTGGTGTCCTTCACCTTCCAGTGCTGGGAACCTTGCTTCTAGAGAGATACAGATCACTTAGTTCTCAACAGACAGCAACCAGATGCCTTACAGGAAAAGATTTACAGCTGAACATACTCATGTCTCCTGAGGGCTTTCTCATCTCGTATTGTTTTTTATTTCTTCTGCTCACCTCCTCACCTGGCCTGAATCTTCTTGTCTTTAAGACCTTTTTGAAGTCCAAGAGCTGAGGAAAGCCAGCTATTAGCCAAGTCCATTGTTGCATTCACATAGAAGCAAACTCAGTTGCATCCCCTATATAATGGGATTTAAGAACTTCAATATTCTAATTAAACGTTTTCTTCATTAAGTGAAGAACCTTTAAGATGTGCTTGAGCCACTTGTTTGGGTCTAGAGCTAAATCATTTACCACAGTACATGCCCAGGAGTTTTCCGTGGCCTACTTGCACAGCCTAGCTGGCAACTGTGGAGCTTGTTCTGAGATGTTGGCAGACCAGGGATATTTTGGGGTTGGTCTTGCAGATGTAAAGCTTTTTCTTGCTATCAAAAACTCATCTTTTGGAAATACATTGCTGTCAAAGCTAGCATGGCCCTTAACAGAGCTGAGCACAACCTAAAGGACAGCTGCCAGGGCTTCTCAGTTTCCCTGTTAATGAATGACCTAATGTGAAAACCCTGCATCTCTTGAGCAAAACATCTGCAGTGCACCCAAAGCAGACAGATCAGGACTTGAAAGGCTTCTCTCCACAACTTCCTCTAGAGCTTAGCAAAACTACAGCTAAAGGAAAATTCAACCCACTTGATCTGTCCTCCCTGCTTGAACCCTGCAAGGAGAGCGCCAGTTAAAAAAAAAAGGCAAATCCTTACTATGAAATCCGTTCTTGATGGCAGAACTCACTTTTCAGATCCATGCAGGGATTTTTGCCTTTGTGGCTATTCTTGCCAATGGCAATGTTTCCATCAAGGTCAAAAGTGGCTACTGCTGGAAGAGGAAGGTTTCACTGTCCGAGAGACAAGGTGCAGACTCAGGGGACAGTATCTGACCCTGACTCTCCTCTCCCCTGGATTTGTGAAGGATGAAGAACAAAAGCCCCATTAAGACCTGGAGGATTATGGCTCTGTATGGCAGAGGCGTGCAGAATCAACAGTGGTGTAATTTGTGGAGCAACTTTGGAAACTTAATTACTTCTCAGGATTCAACTTTAATGACTTCTTCATACTCCCTGGATCCTAAGCAGCAAGTTATGTCACGTTGTGTTAGAAGCTGAAGCTGTAGCACGCAGAACAGCATCAGATCCGGGAGGAGAAAAAAAAAAATAATGCCCCAAATGGTTTTCCTTTCCCAAGAACAAACATATGCAGTAGCACAGCGCTTTGGAAATAAATTGCTCATGAACCTTCTGGCTTGAAGGAACCAGTAAATCTTCCTGTTTGCAATGATGCCCAGGTATATATGGCAAAAATCTCACTGCTCTATTAAAGGCCTTACTGAAATGTCTCCCTGCTTTACAGAAAAGCTCTTATTTACCCCTTGTGTCCTCGGAATAACAGATTACCACAGCTCCTGGCAATCACAGCACAGCTCAGCTCTGTGTCCATATTACAGAATAAAGTACATTACATAGATTGAAAGCTGTTACATAAACCAAACTTTTATTATGGTGGTTACAGTAACAAAATGTCCAAAGGGATGTTTTATATACACAACTTCTCCCATGCTTAATCAAAGTACAATCAACTACTCTTTTTTTTTTTTAAAAAAAAAAAAAAAAAGCAAGCAAGCAAGCTTTACTACAGGAATATTTTATTATTTTTAAATCATCCAATACTTTACCACTAATTCCCTATGTTATTAAAGCTTGAACAAGGAGATTGGGGTACGGCTCTTACAAATCCTCAGCCAATTTGGAGGAAGAGGTTTCTAGAGCCTCCACACTGGGCAACTCAGACCCAAATCCTTCACATATGAACGGCCACAAGTCAGGTGCCCGGAGGCTCAGAACCGCCCAGCTCTGCTCATTGATGTCCCCATAGTGTCCCCTGGAGCAGACAATTTGGGTGCAGGGCACAGAAGACAGGCGATGCTTTAGCCCAGACATCCCTTATGAGACCAGGCACATGGAACAGCCCCAGCCACCCAGACCTGCAGAAGGGCTGGAGGCAGCACCTTGTTTCTCAGGGGCTCCCTGAGGGAGACACAGGACAGAGCTCATGGTGTTTGGCTAACACAGTAATGAGCCTGTGGAAAGGAATTAGGTGGCTACAACAGATGTCTGGGGTCCCAGAGCCAAGAAATAACCTGTCCCTCATCTGCACCTGGGACTGAGCATGGTCATGCCCTGGGTGAGTGATTAGCCAAATATAGACAGGGACAGGGTATGGGCTCTGTGGTGGGTGTGCTTTGTGGGGGCATCACCAGGTGTGCACCCAAACACCCCCCAAGCCCCCCCAGCAGCTCTGGGCACACACGGGTCCCCTCCCACAGGAGGAAAGCAACTTCCCCAGCCCAGCACCAGGCAGCTGTCTCCTGACAGTGAAGCCCTCCTAATTGCTGTCTGGTGCAATTAGACTTATTCCTGCTTGTAATTCAATTTGCACAAGGATGCGAGTTCAGCCCACGGAGTTTGTGTGCATTCCAGCTCCTCCAATTAGCGGCACTTTGTAGCCATTGAGACATCAGTGGTGACATGTGCTGGCTCTGCTGCATCCCTCTGGGACATCGGCTGGCTCGTGGGACTCAGGTGACTCCAAAAGGGCACGTGCAGCACTGAGACACAGGCTGCCCACCACTAGCCAAGTGGCTAGATGATGCTGGGCTCCATGTAAGGAAAGGAGGAGGGAAAGGGCCTAAGAAGTAGCAATCCAGATATGATTAATGCAGATCAGTGACATTTCACTGATCTTTATATATATTCTTGTGGGATCAGAAGCATCTTAGGTGCTATGGGAAGATAAGCATCCTTGGCTAAACAAGGCGAGCTCCTGACATCCATCTTTCACATCCTCTGCTCTGCAGACAGGTACTAGATGTAGGAAAGCTGCTCCATTCCTCTGTCAAGATTTTCCTACCAAGAAAATTTATATAGTATTTCCTTAGCCTTCAGGGAAAAAACACACACAAAAACCCTACAGTATTTGGAAAATAAGAGATCCACGGAGGCTGTGATTTGAAATTCATCACACCATCATACCTCCTGCTCCAGACACATGCCTAAGGACAGCTACTTCAGAATATATAAAAGTATTTTCAAACTTAGCCATGTCCTGCATGTCTGCTTAGCTCTGATATTTGCTTCAAGAGAAGAGCATCACAGGGACTGCTGTAAAAGCTTTAAAGGCAGAAGAGACCCCTTTGGTGCCAAGAATGGCAGCGCTTCTAGAGGAAGAGCGGCACAGCATTGTATCAATAGGGAGTTTGATAGATAAAGTGTTCTAATTGTAAAAACTAGCAAAAATGAGATCATCACCATCCATGACAAGTGTAGAAATTAAGAGAATTTCTAGTTTCCCCTCCAGCTACCTTTAAATAATCCTGCAAAAACAAAATACTTTTCATTCATTCTGATGCTTACAGGACAGCTGAGAAGATTTAACCATTAAAGAGAGCCATATATTTCAAAGGTTGTAATAAAATATATATAATTTCAGCAGCAATTGCCTTCAGGCAGCAAAGAGAGAGCTGCCTGAGAAAGAGAGTGCCATCAGCAGCAAGATTGCAGAGAGGTCAAAGAGGAAGGCAGGGAAAGGTTTTCCCCTTCATGGATAGGCCACAGGCTTTGGGATGGATCAGGGCAGCACTCACCACCAGTCTGCATCTGGGGAGAGGGCTCGGCTGTCCCGGGCTGCAGGATGCAAATGGGGCCAGGGCTCACCAGCACAGCGGGCAGGGTCCAGTTCCAGGGAGAACCAGACAGCAGCAGCCACAGCAAGACCCAACATGTACTTTTCAGGAGAGAAGCAAACAACAAAACAGCCCTGTAGCATTAAGAGGCCAGTTATTAGAAGTTCTCACTTACCAGGAAAAGCTGGATGTTGAGGAGTTTCTTTCATTACATATTTTTATATATATATATACACACACAAGTAATTTTCTAAGCGTTTTCTTTACAGCAGGGCTCCACAATTCCAGTAAACAAGACTTTCCACTCTGCAAAAACATTTCTCTTTCTTCTCCTTTCCCTCTCCTCTCCACTCCATCATCTGTTTTCCCCTTTTCTTTCTCACTCTTGCCCCCCACCCCCTCACATTTAATACACATGGAAGGTATACAACATGCTTACTTTTCTCCTGTGCCACTTCCCTCAGGTGTGCTCTGTCCCCTCTCCAAGCCAGGTTTACTCCATACACCCCCTGCTCCACAGTGCAGTGCCTGGCCAGCCAAGGTGGGGATGCTAGGAAAGCACCAAGCATGGTGTGACCCATTCCTTGCTACCCTGGGGACTTCCCCTGACCTCCAAGCAGCCAGGACTAGTACACTCTCCCAAAACTGATCACAGCCGCCCCCCCCTCCCATATCCATCCCCTACCTCTCTGTGCCCCTAGCAGTACAAGCAGCCAGGTGTGGCTTAAGAAAAATCTGTGGGGCAGGATACAGATCCCCACCTGCAGAGGATCAGCAGACTGATACATTTAAAAAACTGCTGAAGATTTTATACAGGTGCAAAAGGGGACTGTATCCGTTCCTTCTGCTTTTTAGCATGCTTTAGAGCTGTTCTTTAACAAAATAAATAAAGGCTTTAAACTAACCAGAGTTTTCTACCAAAAATGTATGGCTTCCTTCCCTAACAACATGAGCAAGGTTCTTGCTGGCTGCACGTTCAGCAGCTCACCTTGCAAATGTGGTGCTAAAAATGGGTCCCTCCTGGGCCATGCCCTCGTTGCACAGAGCTTGGATGCTGCCGGGGAGGGGACTCATGGCAGCTGCTGCGTTTTGCAGGTGGAGAAATTCAGAGGTACCCCTCACTCGTATATCAATGTGTTTTTTCTGAAGAAATTAACACACCTGGAGTTGAGTCCAGCTTTATAGCTCTCCTTTAACATGGTTTCCCAAATGTTTTCATGCTGGGAGAGGACAGAAACATCTCTGAAGTGGGGGAAGCTGCAGAGGCCAACTGCTGGGGCATCCAGCCTGGGTGCAATCCTGTCCACCAGGTGCAGAGCTACCAGTGGTGGAGGGGATTGCAACAGTTAGCTGTATGGAGGCAAACCCTTCAACCACTGCGTTGCACCCTGGAAAATAGGAGATGCCATCAGGGAGAGCTCGGCTGGTGCCGGCAGCCTCCCCTGCATCCCTCCTTCCCAGGGACGTGGCCCCGGCCCCTAGAACAGTCATGGGCTGGGGCAAACCTGCTGCTTCAGTTCCCAGCACTGACACGTTGAGTTAAATCATGTGTTTTGAGCTGAGATGCATAAAACAAGCTGGAGAAAATGAATCATGTGGGGAAATGAAATGGTGAGAAATCTGCTTAATAAAACCAACTGCCTCGGGGCCTCCTGTGCATAAAAGGAGTTGAAGTAGCGCTGTGCTGATGGGAAATGATGGACTTGCAGGAGAAACCCCAGAGAAACTTTGTTTAAACTTGAGGTACTTGCAAAAGCAATGGGAAGGCTGGTGCAGAAAGGTTCGGCACCCTGGTCCTGCTGCCAGTCGTGTGTCCCCACCTCCTCTCCTGGGGTCCCACTGCTGCCATGGGGCTCACATGTGACGTGCACAGCCTCCACCAGGATGGGACGTGGTGGTCTGTGGCAATGCTCAAAGTCATGGGAAAGCTTCTGCCGCCACTGTGGTAGTGTGGATGGCACCGGGCGGTTGAACGCCCCCATGGAAATTGCCCTTGATGGGTGCATGTCAGTTTGGGTGCATTTCTGCTAGAAAAGAGACAAATGCCTGCTCTTCCCTCTGCCACCCTCAGCACCCACAGGCTTGTGGCTGCCCTCTGAGCACATCCTCTCGTTTCCCTCCCATCTGTGCTTTCCTTGATGCTGATGCCAGGTTTGGGGTCCCTGCAAGAGCAGCCAGTGCACGGCCAGGGATAACACCACCACCTGAGCAAGAGGCACATGGGGCTCTCCGAAATGTCAGCCTTGCACGGCTCTGGCGTGCTGGGGAAGCATTTCCCTGTCTCAGAACAGGCAGGGAGTTAAATGTCAACACTTGTATGTGTCCCCTGGCAAACAGCTGGGGCTTTCACAAACACTGCAGGGATTCCCAGCCCGCTTCCTTTTCACCCCACACATGATGTGAACTCCTGCCTGTGCCCAGAGCTCAGCCTTTGCCGAGGGGTCTCAGATATGGGTCAGGCATGGGGATGGAGACCCAAGAACCACACGTGCCTGCAGCTTGTCCCACAGGTAGGAAAGCACACTGGTCCCTGCACAGTGCTGACATGCAGAAGGTGAGCACGTCGCTCGGGCTCCCGGCAGGAGCCACGGGGCATCCCGTTAATGAAATTACAGCTGTGGCTCACATGGCACATTTCTGCTGAACACATCTGAAATCTCTTTCCCTCGGAGGCTACGTAACCAATGCCTGGGAATTATCTCACTGCTGTTAGAAATGCAACATGATTACAGTGCTGAACCTAATTTAAATCCCATTGCATTCTATTGTAAAACAGCAAGAGATGAGCTAATGTGTAATCTGTCATTGAGCCATCCTCAGAGTGGGCACGCCGGTCTGATCCCCAAAAGCTGAAAAGCTAAATCCAGAGACTTTAAAGTAAATCACAAATCCTATGTGAACAGGTTTTGTTTGATGAGACTTTCAGGTACTTCAGGGACAAGCCTCATTTAATTGTGTGCCCACTCAAGGACGCGTTTCTGCCCAAGCTCTTTTCTCAGATCCATGCTTACTCTGCACATCCACTGAGTGCCACAGCATCTCTGCTCCTATGCAAGCAGCAGGGTGAAGCTGGGGGAGGTGACTGTGATAAATCGGGGCCCTGGCAGTGAGGCCAGTGCAGAGCGCATGGGAAGTTTAATTGCACCAGTTGGCTTTGTGGGACCCTTCACGTCGCATTTACCATACAGGAGACTCACAAATGGCTTGCTCAGATATTTATTATTTTCTATTTACAATCCATTTGCAATATTTATCACAATAGTTTCACTTTGGTCCTGAAATAGCACACCACAGAGATCAGAACGTAATTTTGTGGTATCATGGGGAAGGAGTCTCCCAAATCAAGGTAGCAGCCCAGGCTTCAAGTAGCAAAACTGGAAATTGGGCTCTTCTGAGCTTTGGTGCCCAGCCAGCCATCAGCCTCTTCCTATTCATCTTGGCCATCTACATCACCCTACTCTTGGAGAGTTGCTGGGACCAGACACGTACCTGCTGTGACTACAAACAGATAGCAAAGTATTTTAGGAGGGGAGTTAATACTCCTCAAATGAACTCATCCTTTCAGTTCATGTGCTAACAGCACAGACTATCACAGCTTTATTTTTAAATGGCCTTTTCCTTTATCACTGGAAAAATTTCTTCCCATTGACCTGAACAGCACTAGCAAAGTCAAGTGGAATATATATATTATTTCCTACCCACTGAACATAGTCATTGTTAATCTGAGCATGTTAAAACTCAAAGGGACAGGACCTGGAAGGTGGTTAATGCTAACACGATGGGAGCAAAGGGGAAGGGGTGAAGCCCAATCTTGTTGAAGGCAGAATTAGGTGTTTAAAATGGAAGTGAAGTGACTGTCTTGGACGTGCAGTACCTAACTCTGTCTCAGGGGACATGGCCGTGGCACCAAGAATCTAGACTGCGAAGAGACAGGGAACCAAAAGTCTTGTGGAGTTAGCAGCAGCATGAGAAGCAAGGAGACATGATCACATGTATAAAACTGGGAGATCCAGAGTAGGAAGCCAGCAAAAGCAGCTCACACAGTGTTTGCTGAGCACACTGCTGTCAGGTCACTGGAAGAATGTTTTATAGCCACTTTGAAAACAGTGAGCTAAGACAACAGATACTCAGACTCTTTCTGAATGTAGCATCATTTTCTTTTGAGTAAGACATTGTGAAAGTTCAAGGTCTGGGGGGGACAATTTATTTTTAATAAGCAATGGGTTATTTTGGTCAGGTTAGTATCAATAAATAGCAATTAGCTATGCAAATGATAATTTGCATAAACAGCATCTGAAGGTCAGTTTGTAGCACAGCTGTCTCATACAAAGATGAGGGGAGGACCAGCCCTGCATTCAGATCTCCACCTGGTGTGGATGTCCACAGCTTCCTCCTGGCAAGGTGTTTAGCAAGACAAACTCACCTGAAGTCCACTCCCCAAAGTGGGCTGGAACTGATCCTAAATTTTCCTACGTTCTGGAAATGAACCTAGAAGCTTAGTAGCTCTCCCTTTCCTATGAGTGGGACAACAAACTTTCTCCTCTTAGCAAAGTGGATTAGAAAAGCTCTGGTCAAAAACAAGCACAAACCCAGCCCAAGAAGTCTGGGGCCCACAGTTCTGCCCAGACTGTCTCACACATCTCCTCTAACACATTGCCTCTGCCTAAAAACACTGCTCAAGTGCTCTGAAACAGAAAGATACCACATTCACAGGGGGTTTCAACATGAGGGAATCTCCTCTGGCTCCACAAGAAACAAGAGCTTGTCCTTCACAGCTTGTCCTTTGCTATGCACTGCTTGGTCAAAACATTCCTGGTAAACAACAACCAGTAATGATTTTAGCTTTCCTTTCACTTTAAAAGTCTTTGCTAGTTTTATTGGAAATGACCCCCAACTTACAACATGCTCAGAGCAACCCAAAAGCTTTTCTTCCAATCAATGCAAAACAAACTGGGGGACAAAAGCCCCTGAAGGGGAAAATCGATGTGCTTTGATATCTTCATTACTCAGGTAACACAACCCAGCCTGACATAAGTGTAAAGAGGTGTTCAGAAGCACATCTATTTCCAGCCCGGACAAGTACCAGAAAGGCACGAGGAAGAGGTCCAGCATGCAGCAGGCAGAAGTAGCAGTTATTTGACTAGCTGGGAGAGGGCAAATGTACTGTTCTTTCCATCCCAAGAGTGTTACAGGAGCAAAATACATGTGTATATTGTCCCCAAGGCCTGCCAGCACTTAAATCCACCTGAAGGCATCACTGGTAGCTACCTGGGGAGTGGGAACAGCAGGGAGCCCCAGAGCAGAAGGCCTGGTCCCGCCCGCAGGACCTACTGCTCGGGCACGTGTAACTGAGACCAGCCCCTACCTCCCGCTGCTTACAGGAGAAATTCAAAGCTAAGATTACTCCTTGGGATGATTTTTAACACAGCAAATGTGTTAAAGTGTCCAGTTTTAACAGTGAATTTCATCTGCAGGAAGAAATAACAACCACCACAACAAAAGGAAGTGCCAAATGGCACCGATCCATCAGGAACTTTGATGAGGCCCTGAGCAACCTGATCTAGTGGGTGGTGTTCCTGCCTATGGCAGGGGGGTTGGAACTGGATGATCCTTGAGGTCCCTTCCAACCTGAGCCAGGCTATGATTCT